CTCTTCTTGTAACTTACAAGTACTAATTACAATTATAACATCTAATGATTTAATAATTCCGAAAAACTTTTTTTTTATAGCAAGTGAGTGGAAGCAACTCTGAGTGCATCAAATATTCTATCCAAACCAGTTTTGGCATAATCATTAGCAAATTGATATTTTTCCGTGTGACATTGGAGCAAAATATAATGCTTGATATTGATTTTGCAAGCTCCTTTGATATTGCGAGACTATTCACAAGGTGTAAAGTTGAAGCCGAGAGTTGAATCGACGCAAAAATGATTCCGTTGAAGCTCGTTTCATTAGAAAGAGAAGGTATAATAAAATGCTATTTCTTTTTTCTCTTTACCGATGTCAGACACGAAACGACTGCTGCCAGCCGTTATGGAAGATTCGGTTGCGCTCGTTTGTAAAGCCAAAATCATGAAACTCAATCTCACCACAGCTTGGTGCGATTTGCGAAAACTGGTGAGTTTTGTTAGCTTGATATTCTGAGCTGCGATATCACAGCTTGCAATATCAACTGCAGTTGTTTGCTTGTTGATTTTTGTCTACAAAAATCAAGCGTAATCTTGTTCTTTTGATTTTTTGAAATTTTTCCAGCACTGATCCAAACATAAAAAAATCAAAGAGCAATTTCCTAGTATATTCGGCATGCGATCTCGAACTCTGTTATGTATTCAAGTTAGTCAGCTGGCACTGAAAACTCCAACAGTACACACTTAATTTGGCTCGGTAAAATCTCCAACAGCCGATTACCTCGGCATTTACTTTTGCTGATATATCTGCTAAATATCTGTTTGTTCGCTGATATCTCAGCAAAGTTATATTTGTTAGCTGAGTCTCGGCAATTGTTTTACTGAATCTCAGCAAAATAAATTGCAGAACTATTCGGCTGTTGGAATCTCGGCGAAAAAATTTAAGTGTGTAGGTGGGACAACAGCTCACTTTAATATATCTCAGATGACGTAGCGGTACGTGCTGGGGCACTCACGCTGAAAGACTGGGTTTAATTCTTCAAAAAGCTCCAATTCTAATACTAATGCTGATAAATCAATACACATTCATACCTGCCTTTAGAAATAACTTTCATAAAGACCTGACTTTAGAATTAATTTTCATAAAAGTGCGAACTAAATATAAAATCAGTGTAAAACCTGTTTTAACTAATTTTCTAAAAGTTCCATTCAAGTTCCGTCAGAAGCTGCTTAGAATGCTCTTCAATTATGGTACCGGAACTTTCAAGTTCTTATAACGACTTAAAAATGACGCTGCTTAGAATGCTCAGGACCACCTTCAACCAAGCTGCTTAAGCCACAAATAACCTGCTATCAGAACATTTGATCAAGGTTGTAAATACTCATTTCAGCTAAAACAATGTTTTTCTAAATTATGAAATAATTAGATGCCATGATCAAATTTTGAATTGGTAGGATACAAGAAGAGGTTGCAAAGAATGTGTTTGACATATTAAACCTTTTTATTTCACTTCATGAGAGTCACAATCAGCGATTTTTCACAAACTCACTCACTCACTCACTCACTCACTCAGCGATCAGAAAATCGCTGATTGTGACTCATAGAAAGCTAAATTTACAGGTTTTATATTTCCAACGCATACTTTGTAACCTCTTCTTGTAAGTTACAAGTAAAACATGCCATCATACCATCTTTTGGTTTTATTATTCCGAAAAACATTATTTTAGCTGAAATGAGTATTTGCAACCTTGCATTTGATTACTTGGGAATTTTCTTATTTTGATCTGATATTGATTTATTTAATATTAATCCAATAGTAAAAGTAACACATAAGCTGATAAAGTTGAAATCTGCATAGCTCAGAAATCTTGACAATTTTTAAAAAACTTCGTAAGCCTGTTAATCGATTTTGCCGGTTCGCTGACCACCCTGAAAGTAGACTCCTGCGCTGAAGAAAAATTGCTCATGACAAAACATATAAATTAATAACGTTCAACGTTTTATCACCACTAGCATGTCGATATGATAACCTTTTGTAAAATGTAGCGCTTTATAGCATTCAAATGGTAAATGTTTATTTTTATAAAATAAGTTTGTATGATTGTTCTTCAACTTTTTTAGTTCTTCAAGGTGGCTGGGTTCGATTCCCGTTCCGGTCTAAGAATTTTTCGGGTTGGAAAATTTCTCGACTTCCCTGGGTACTTGCCACACAATTATACGAATGCAAAAAATGGTACAGGCATCAAAAGCTGTCAATTAATAACTGTGGAAGTGCATCTAGAACACTAAGTCTGAAAGCACGCAATAAGCTAATTATGCGATAAGCTTGAAATACGACGACGAAGAAGAAAAAGAACATTATTGAAATAATTATTTTCTTATAAAAATAGTGGAATTTTATTAGCGTTTCATTAGGGTGACTATCTTGGCCCACTTTTCACTAACTGAATAGTCTAATAATAAATATTTTGTTGCAAGGTAATTTTCTCTAGTAAAAAAAACGACTCTATCTTGGGTATCCAGAATTTACTGGTAGCTTTGCTACTCTGGCCATCCCTTTTTTTCGGTTTGATCGAACATAAGTAAATCGCTTTAGACAGTGAAGCTGTAAAGTTGTTAAAGTTTTCACACATTCAGCTAGGAAATCCGAACAACCTTCATATTAAAACGTCGATTGAAGTTGAAAAAAAAAAAATACATACTAGAAGACATCCCAATCTGAGCAGCTAATCAATAGAAAATATAAGCATTTTTAATTGTTTGTTGGTTAACTTTATTAATACTTTCGCCATGATTTTTACCACGCAATTCAGTCCATTGCTTTTTTCCATTAAAACTGCAACTAAAAATAGACCTTGCGTATCTTTTTTCTTGCCCGACGTAATCCACCCGTATGACAATGACTCAGCAAAATTTCACAGAACAGCTTATTTTAGGGCAAATTTTGTTCTTTCTTATACCAAGAACATCGCTTGAGACATAACACTTATAAAAACACTATTTAGGAAATAAGTTTGTTCTAGTTTGTAAGTGGATTGACCAGTTAATTACCTAGAAACGTGTACGGCGAAAGCATGCCAGTAGCTTAATGCGATCCGCTTTGTATGACACACAACGCTCACTTTTTTTCTTCCAACATACACGAGTCATGCATCTGTAGAGCCCCGCGGTCTAGTTGGCGGTGAAATTCTTCAAATTCTCACTCCCTCGCTGTATGTCGAATATTATTTGCGAATAAGACAAATATCAGCGCCTGCTGTGCATTTGTATATTGCGGCAGCAGTTTGTAGATCAGTTTTCACTTTCCGCTCAACGAGTTGTAAATAGTAATGACTTGCAAGTAGAATGTAATATAGTTCTTCTGATACGATACGAATCACAGTTCAAAGATTTCACGAGATGATACACATTCAAAGTGCATGGCTAGACTGCTGAATCATTGGGTCAGTTGGCCCTTCGTACGGGACGGAAAGACCTTGGCAGCGGTGGAGAGGTACTAACTAGTGCCATTTAGCGACGGTGGTGGTGGTAGTGTTGGTGGCGATCATAGCGGATGCAGCTTTTTTCACCGTTCCCCACACTAACACTGTGCTTATCAATTTTCGCAGAAAACGGCAGTTATCTTATCGCTGCTGCAATCCTCTATACGTAAATACACACACGGGCGAAATCACCAGGATCGTAAAGCCTACTGCGTTATCAGTACGCTCTCATTGACGTTGATTCGCCCCGTTCGCCCCGCGCAGCGTGTTTGTGAACAGGAAAAGTGGCAACCTGAACACGTACTCTCAAAGGGCGTAAGAGTCTACACGGGAGGCGATGATGAGCATTTATTTGGGCGATGACATTCCAGCTTAATTTCTTCAATTCTCACTGTCCGTACGGACAAACAGGTAGGTGCCACCGAAGTGGCTAAAATAGTTTTCACTTTTGCTGCTATTTTCGAGCGCACAGAGCTTAAGCCAATTATCGCTCGGAGCAGGATTCCACACTTTGCTTCCACGGCCTGCTGCTTGTTGCTACGAACGACGCAGGGCAAATCGACGGTTAGAATTTTTAGGAGCAATTATAGTAAAAACAAATTTTCTTATTTCTCGTAGACGTAGGAGAAACTCGCGCGCGCGGGAGAAACACCACCTCCGAAAATCGATCAGAAAGCAGATAGCATGAAAATTAATTTTATTCAAAACGAAAAAAAAAAAACCAGAGAAAGAACAGTGAAAAAATGTACAATTAAACTACAAGGGAGAAGCAAAAATTGTGTGTACAAGTTCAGCCTGTACGGGTTGCTCACATATCGCGACATGACTAAGCATTTAAAAATAGTAAACACGGTGTAACAAAATCTTCAACCCGAAAAAAAAAACTTTTTGATTCCCTTGCACGTTTGGATTCGGCATTCTCTCTCGCTTGCCTTCCCAAGAGAAGCGAACATTTGCCAAGGTGCTGTGTGTGCATATTACACATGGTTGCCAGCTCGTTCATCGTATACGACGACATCGTTCGAGACCAACACTTTCTTCGAGCCTCGTCGACCGATGCACTCTCACATGTGGTCTTCCATCGTTCGATGGTTCCCGTTCTCGGTGCCGTCGGGGTACCCACGATGGTGGTGGATAATTAAAATACACACAAACGGTCGTCACCGTGCGAAAGAGGCAAAAAATTGGCTGATACACAAATTTCATAAACATTTAATTCGATACACAATGACACTTAGGGTAGGGCAACCAGTCATGGCTATACGTTTCTATTATGCCGTATATAGCCATAACTGGTACATCTACCCTAGTATGAGTATAAGTAGCGGTGCAAAAAAAAAAAAACACGGACGAAGCAACCCTTGATTGCGCGCTGTGGTATTTTGCCTTGCGCTGACAAAGTATTCGTTTCAGATATCGCGCTCGGTGGGGCAAGTGAGCGAACTACTGATAACACGTCAATCGCCACAAGCATTAACAGTGTGATTGTGGGACACCCCGAAGAAACTAGTAGGCTACGAAAGAAGGCATATAACTCACCCTCGTTTACTGCGATGTCCATTAGCTGTAGGTCGTCATCCAGAATCGAGTTGAGAAATCCGTCGGTATGATTCATCTCGGATGATGTGTTCTGGAGAGGAGAGAGAAAGATTAATTATTACCGGAATCACTCCATGCAGAGTACCATGCGTCTCCACATGGATTAAACTTACCGAATAGTACATCATCTCGTGATCCATCTTGTAGCCGGTGGCTCCGGCGTCCGTTTCCGATGTCGAGTTAGTCAAATGCATACTGGTGGAGACGGCTGAACCCAGATTTGGTCCATAGTGGGGCTGGGTCGGGCCAATATCCGCCAAAGAAGCATTTTGTAGTACGGCTGCATGCGAGTGATACTGGCCATGCTGCGGAATGGCACCGGTAGCCTGTAAAATGAACCAAAAAAAAAAAAGAAACATCCAGTTCTAATTATTCCAAAACAATTAGCTAACAGTGCAGCAAAGTTGCACTCTTCAATTTCACGCATCATCATCGGATTGAACAAAGGAATATAAAAACAAAATAACACAGCCCCCGAACTGACTTTGGCCCCCGTGACCCGGCGAGGTCAAAATCAAAACAACTAATAACATGCCCAATTTGCCTTTTAAACCCTATCATTGTAGAATGCTCTCGGGCTACTGTTTATTTTTTTTTTTTTTTCATTTCAAACTCCTTTGTGCGTTCACAGCCTACTACGACGTACTGCTCCGGTGATGATGTGATAAACGAGCACGAATTTGTAACTGAGAATGAACCGAATCGAACATGAACAAAGCTCACGTACGACAGCGATGGCGACGACGACGGGGAGTTGTAATTTTCCAATCAATCTCCGAATATTTTCGCGCATGGAATCAATTAATTTCAATGATGGTTAAAGATTGGAATTTTTTCGGCTAATTGAATTCCATCCTGCGCACGCGTACTCGTTCGACCAATTAGGCTACTTGTGTGCTGTTCGGATTCGGAGTCGTGCCCGGATATAGACATCATCGCACCGCCACCGTCTGTCTGTAAGACCACAAGTGCATCCCGGAATCGATTTCTTTCTCGGGGTTGGTACTGGTTCAAGGTTCGCTCATTAGAATATTGCAGGGTAGGATACGCAAAAAGGTTTTAATCAGTGGCTCGGTACCTCTGTTTTAAGCTTCTTTTTTTTTAAAGCTTAGAGTGTCTATGTCTAGACGTTGATTATCCTTGTTTGGACGGTCAAACATATGCCAAGCGAGGATGCGGTTTACTGCATGATTAGTAAAAACTGAGCTACATTTAGTTAACCAAGCAAGAGAGCAATGTATAGCTTTCAGAAGTCTTGTAAGTTTTGCAAAAATATACAAAAGATTCAAAATATCCATCATATTTCTTCCTATTTTAGACAACAATATAAGTTATTTTCAGGATGTAGGTTCCAGAACCAGTTGGTTCATTAATTGTAATTTAAATTAAAAAAACTCTATTATAGGATTAATAGGATTAAATTGTTGCAAAAGCTACAGCAATTGATAACACATTTTTTTCTGTTGGTGACAACTCGATAATCCATTTACATGATCCTCCCTGATCAATTTATCAAAAATGTTAACCTTTCTAACCTCAAATAAACTGTGAGTGAATCACTCGTAGTCTTAAGTTATTTTTTCTAAACTACAAACAATGAAATATCGGCTGCGTAAAGCTATCGCGATTGAGCCTTTCAAATAAACGATTTTCAAAATACCTTTTCTCATTTTTAATCCCTTCAACCTGAAACATCTTCGGTAAACTTTAAACAGTAGCAAAAGAATTCAAGCATCTTTCTTCCAATGAAACCAAAAACAACGACAAAATCACCGTTTACCCCTTGCGCTAACAGATTGTGAAAGAAAAAAAAATAGATTTTTTTTGTAATTCTCTAATGTTGGCCTATGGATCTAAGATTGGGCCCATCGCTAAAAATCTGCTATTTATCAATTGTATCGAGATGAACGCGTCATTGGGAATTCAAGCCATTTTTGCCATTAACAATCACAACAATTTTGATCACAACACGATTTTAAAATCAAATCAGATAATTTAAGAAGATTTTGAAAAAAAAAAAACGCTGGTCTGTTAAGCTTGACACAGCGCCGATAAAATTTGGATGATTCTGATTGATCAGAATTGCATATTTATTTCATTCAACTTCAATACCATAAACCGTACGCTCGCACCTTACGCTTAACTTCACTCATTCGGTTATGTACAACATCTGGCTGCAGCTTCTTCTGTACGGAAACCCACTTTTTCTTCATGTCCTCCTTAGATTTGACCTCCTTGGGCCTTAGTTCCGGTGCGTTACGGGGGTACGAAAGTGTCCCCGTTGGCTTCGTACCACTCCAGGATAACATTGAATAGTGACACGGCCAGAAGATCGTAAGGCCCTCGTGTTGCTTCAACAGAGGAAGCAGACGCTTCTGTAGACACTCCTTGAGGTAGATCTCCCCGTTTACAGTCCCGGTAGTCACTATTGGCGCACTCCGTTTGCCACATGAGCAGATCGCTTCCCTAATAAAAATAACCATAAAAGAGAGCTTAACGACGTGTTCGGGGTATCATCCAAACCATTTGTGGGATAGTTTACCCATCCGGGATACAGTTCGTTGATGGTATTTGTTTATTAGGGTTGCCAAATCATGTATTTCTTGGCAAACTTTGAAAGTTTCTGCTTCCTTACTTCCTTCGGAACATCAAACTTGTGCTGGGCGGTGAAGAACAGTAGCCCCTGAAGCTGCCTGAAGTCCGCCTTGACGTAAGTCTCATCATCCATGGTGAGACAAAGAGGCTTCGTCAGCATCTGGGTGTACAGTTCCCGGGCCCGTAACTTTCCCACCGTATTTTGCCGTTCGTCACGATTTGGAGCCTTCTGCACTTTGTACGTATGCAGTCCCTTCCGGTCCTTGGCTCTCTGAACGAAATACATGGATGGATTCAACTTTTTGGCCACATTCCTGACCGAAGCATTGGGATTCCGCTTAAACGCTTTCACGACAAGCTTGTGATCCTGATCACTAATAGAACATCCATTCTGACCGCATTTCTCCTTCCGTTCGATAGGGTAGAGCGCTACTTCGTCGTAATCGCCCATTTCCGTTCTATCGATCAGAAAAGATCTATAATATCAATGATTTCACCATGCACAAAACAATAATACGTTTGTTCCGATGCGATAGTTCATTAGCTACTACATAAATCCTGTTAGAACGCATTGTGTGAACATTTACGCTCATTGTTCTCAAAACAAAAGAAGCGCTCCTAGCGAATCCCCTTTTTCTACGTTTATCCGTAGGACGAAGAAAATCTAATGGCGTTTCAATGCATTAGGATGGAATTGAAACTCGTAGAACGAATTTAGAATCAAGAAGCAGTATTAGATTTTAAACAATATCTCAACAATTTGTGACTCTTTATCAAATCCAACGGTACGTATGGAAAGGTGAATAAATTTAGAAGTCATCTTTGACAGAAATATTCTATAGTTTGTTTAAATTCGTTCAGAAAAGAGAGGTAAAGCGCGGGTTGAGCTTAGTAGGACGGAAATTAGATCAAAAACCCTACTCAGAGTTTCGTAGTAACGTTTAATCACACGACTCACCGTTGACTGCACGATTCCGAGTTGTTTTCCGATTTCTCGATGAGAGAGTTGAGGATTTCCCAGGTGCTTGCACAAAATCAATTCACGACGTTGCTTTTCGGGTGACGCCATTTTTTCCAACTTTCGAAAAACTGGCAGCGATAAAAATACAGTGTAAACAATACACTCAAAACTACTTCTACCCAAATTTACAAGAGAAAATACCCAATGGGTAATTTTCTACAGCGTTTTTTTCCGTGATGCAATTTGATGTGGGACACGCTTTATCCCCAACACACAAATGTTATCTATAACTGGGCACCAGTGTGAAAACTGATACCTAGTAGGCTACAAGGCTACAAACCAAGAGCATCCAGAGTAGCAACGAAGTTTTCCTTATCAATTTAGCTGTTTTTGTTTTGATTTCATAGGGGAGACCTCGAAACAAGAAAATATGTCTATTCTGTAATTCAATAAATCTTAAAATCCTACGACATTTTTTTCGAGATTTGTGACCAGTAAAAAAAAAATCGTGATCCTAGATTTTCAAAAAAAAATACAAAATTCACACAATCTGAGACTGAGAAAAATACTCAAAATCTATATATACATATATAAAAATGAATTTCTGTCTATCTGTCTGACCCTTATAGACTCGGAAACTACTAAACCGATCGGCGTGAAAATTTGTATGCCGGGGTTTTGGGGCAGGGGAAGATTCTTATGATGGTTTGAAAACCCACCCCCTCTGTAAAGGGGGGCTCCCATACAAATGAAACAGAAATTTCTGCATAACTCGAGAGCTAATCAAGCAAATGGAACCAAATTTGTCATGTGGAGGTCATAGGGGGTAGCCCCTTAGATAAGAGGGGGGAGGGGGCTACGTACAAATATAGCATGCTTTTTTTTTTAAATTGGCGCATTAACTCAAACTAATATTGAATCTCGCGCAAGGCCGGGTACACTCAGCTAGTAATGGATAATAATGAAAACAAAAATCCGAGATCCCACATTTTTCCCTGAAAATGTTTCAAGGTGTTGGGGATTTAAAGGAATTAAAGAGCTGAAAATTCTAAAGCAGTTCGAACCAGAATTTCAAGATAATTTTGGGATTAAGTCCTATGAAGATCCTCTTCTTATGACCCTGAGAATCACAAAGTACCGAGATGACTTCCAAGGGATTTCTGTGAAGAAGAAATGAAGTTCTGAATTGTATTCCTAGATGATTCTGAGGTTAATTTTATGAAAATCACAAGACGAATAGCAGGTGAATTTTAAGGATAACTTCTTAGATCTCAGATCAGGGTTCAAAAAGAATTATAAGCAGAAGTATTTTGAGGATACTTTAATGGGAGTACTGAGGAAGATACAGAAAATAACTTCAAAAGAATACTAAGAAAATAGTCAAAAGAATCAAATCTTGACGATGAATGAGCAGTTCCACGCCAACTGACGATCGATTTTACTGTTCCCTTTACAAATTCCATAAAACTTCGAATAATTGTTCACAATTTTTCAAAAATTTTACCATAAGTTTATGTTCTACGATTTTGGTCAATTTTGAAGTGTCCATTGTGTCCATTTCAGAAAAGATAGCATTTTTGATAAGCTTTCAGATAAGTATAAGTTTAAAAATCCTAAAATGTGTTTTTTTTTATTGAACATATTTACAGTTTTTTTTTTCATTATCACAGAATTCTCCTTAAACTTACCATAAACTTATCTTGGATATCTCATTCTAATAAAACTTTAAATCATGTTAGGAATTCCGTAAAAACCCTCCTTGGAATCTTT